GGGGGGGAGGCAGGACACAAGCATGTAGGCATTGTGTGTGGCAGCACATCTCTTCATACTTGTATCCAACTCTGCATAGCAATTACAATGGCTAATTCTATTCAGCTACTGTTGAAAAAAAATAGCCTCTTTTCTAAGCACTAAGTGCCATGTGCTAAGTGCTTTGCCTACCTTGCCTCATTTAATCCTCACAAGAACCCCCAAAACATAGATACTCTTATTTATGCTCTTTTTTCTTGAGGCACAGAGAGGTTAGGGAACTTGGTCAGGATTGCACTGCTGGTACACAATAGAATCTGATGCTAGAACCTGTCCTACTAGCCACTACATAGAGTATATATGAAAAGATGCTAAGGAGGAATGGGGGTGGGAGGTGGTGTAGAAATGGCCCTTTTCCCTGAGCAGTAATCTTTCTGATGGAAATTAGGAAAGGAAATCAGCCTGGGGAGGAGGGCGGCTGGAGGAACACTTGTGTGTGTAAGTGTGTGTGTGTGTGTGTGTGTGTGTGTGTGTTGTTAGCTTTAGAAGGAGGCATTGAGTGAGTGTTGGGGAGCTTCTGGCTGGAGGGCAGCTGTGGGGAAGGTCTCCAGAGCAGGCTGCTGTGCTGAGGATGTTTGATGTACATCTGGGCCCTGGCTTTCTTATTCTCAGCATTCCTTCTTGCATCCCCAGGCAAGCCCATTAAATCACCCAAGTGTCACATTAAAACGCAGGGCATATACGATTTTGGACCCAGTTGCAGCCAAATCATTTGCACGTTACCTGTCTTAAACGTTTAATCAAACATCAATTGCTTCTGATTTGGCAGTTTTCTTTTTCCCTCTTCTTGCCAATAGATTTTCTTTGGTTAGCTTTCTTACATTTTATGGGCCCCTGAAAAAGTCATGAATCTTAGGGTTAGGACAAGAAGAAAAAGTGCTCCGCCACAAGGAGGACGATGGGGAAGGTATACAGAAACTTTTCTTCGCTGCAGAATTAACCTCATTTTGACTCTGGGAGAATTCCGCGGGCGCCTATTGTGCCCTGGGCGCTGAAAATACTTTGGGGCGCAAAATAGTGCCTCTGTTAAGGAGGGTAGAAGAAGTTTCAGATTCTTGGGGCGTAGCCTGGGTGGGTATCCGGGCAAAGTCCGGTTGAGCGCTCCCCAGTGGAGCACTGCACAGCGGGCAGTGCCTGGCCTGTTGCCGAGTTCTAATCACAGCTCTGGTCGCATAGTCCACCAAATTCTCAGCCCGCCATTGCCCCACCTCTGTGTCCTCCAAAAGGTGTCCAGGAGGGGGCGCGCGAGGACCAGTACTGGGTCCGTGGAGCACAGGCCCCTGGAGCAAGTCCCCGGATCCTGCGGATTTTAGCCCACCACCCTTCCACCCTGGCGACGATCCCCTGCCCTCAAGGTTGAAATTGGAGGTCAATCCGCAGAAAGGGTCTCGGAGCTCCAGATTTCCGCCCCGAAATCTGTCTGTGATTAAGACCTCATTCTGTAAAAAGCTCAAGCTAAGTCTTGACAGACACTGAATTTGGGGCCCTCTGCTTCCGCGACTTGGAACTTTGTATCCTTCATTTCCCCTGTCCCTGCTTCCATGCACCTGATTAGGTGCCTGTTTCTTTAACGATCAAAGACGTAGGCGGCGGCGGGGGTGGTATCTTCGCTCGGTTCCCTGGTCTTTCAGTAACTGTATAGTTATTTACATTATAAGCACTAGATCTGCTCCTGCGCGCGCAGAGCGGCTCAGGGCGAGATACGCGTAGTCTTCTCGCTGAACTCGGAGGCTGAACCCAGAGTTGTGGCTCCCATCCCAGGCCCAAGTGGACTCTGCCAGGGGCGACTCGGGTTCCAGCCCTGCCGGGACAGGCACTGGGTTCTCCAGATAAAAGGCAGGGGTAAGGGGTGTCTTTCGCCCAGAGCAGGATTCGGGAACAAAAGCTCTTGCAGGAGAGTTGGCCAAAGCTGCTGGGGCTGCGGGAATTGGCACCTGGGCCGAGGGTAGCCGCTGCGCGCGAAGTAATGCCTCCCCACAGAACGCCCCGGCTTCTGCCTCCTTGGCAAGACAGCAAGGAAACGGGGGTCTTTCCGGGCCTGCAGACCCCGAGAGGTTTCCCGGACGCTGGAGGGGTGGGTCTCAGCGATCCAGGGATCTTTGGGCAGAGAGCTAAGGAGTTCCCACTCACTTCCTATATTTTTTTCTTCCTGTGTCTCGCTCCATCTAAGTTGTCTCTTGGTCTGCTTGTTTCCCCGCCGAAAGCAAAAAGAACCAGAATAGAGGTGAAAGCTGGCGCGGGGGTGGGGCAGTCTACTAGCGAGAGGCCTCCACCTCAGTGCCTCCCTCTTGCCTCCACGCCTCCCTCCGTCCCAAAAAGTCCCCAGGACCCGCCATCTGGCACCAGATCCTTTTAGTCCCGCTGCTGGGCCCCAGTCCCCTTGAATCCCTCTTCTCTGGGCAATGCTCCCAGGACCGTTTTCCCAAGGTTCCCAAGACTCTGGCGACGCAACCAGGACGCCCTCCTTGCGCTGCAGACAAAGAAGTCTGCCAGACCTGTCGGCCGCGCCACGTGCCACTCCCGGGCTCAGTCCGACCCAAACTGCAGGGGCTCATTCCTGCTTTAGGGACCCTCCTGGCTGTCCCACTACAGGGTTCCGGGTGGGGACGGGTCATAGTGGTCTCACCCTCGTCCCTTCTCGAAGATGCCTTCCCTCGAAGGGCGCCCCAGCTCCCTCCTCCAGTGTCGCCTGTGGGGACCCCACGCCTGGACAGATGTCGTGGTGAAGTTCTGGGTTCCGAACATGACTTGATTGAGCAACTTGCGCTGGTTCCAGCTCCCTGGGCCGCCTCTAGCGACCACAGGAGTAGGAGAGAGGGAGGGGAATCCGAGTGTGCGTGCACCAGTCTGTTCATATTTAATTTACAAAGAAGCCTCATAACCCAGGCCGGGTGGTCTCTTTAGATGCAGCGCTCTTTGCCTGTCTCTCTCCCCCACCTCCTCCCCAGCTCATTAAAATGCTTAACACTCAAATCGGGGTATTGATCTCCGCAGAGGCCCCAAACATGCGCCATCGACAGACCATCAAGACAGACCGCTACCCTGGGTGAAGACTGGGGGGCCAAATGCGCCCCAAGAGCTCAGTGTCTACAGGAAGGGCTGGGGGCGGGGGCTCCGCCTGTCTCCCAGGACCTGTACCCCTTTTCAGACCAGCAGCTCAGTCTCCTAGGCTGCTGTAGGCAACACGGGGTGGAAACGGATTTTAGCCAAATGCCTCGACATCCCTGCGCCTCCGCCTCCTTGTCGCTAAAAGAAATGTCGGGGTTTCGCCAGAGATAGGGAGAGTAGGGAACAGCGAGTCCGCGAGTCTGCTGAGGCCAGCTGTTGTGTGAGGGTGTGAGACGGCTTTGGGGCATAGCTTGTGGAGAGCGGGGGTTGACTGTATGTTTGCTTGAAAAGCTGTGAAGATACCGGGGGTGGGGGGACGTTCGGGTCTTATGTCCCCAGCCCCCAGGGCTCAAGAGGAGCAGACGTTTTGTAACCAACCCTGTTGCTGCTATCTCGTTACAACCTCAGTGCCTCATTCGCCTGGAGCTGGCAATACCTGAGAGCGAGGTACTTGGGTGCGCTCAAGCTAGCCTCCGGGGAAAGAGCGGGCAAATACCTGCGCGCCCCATCCCACCCCGCGGTGAGCACAAGCTGGCGTGCTGGGCGGTGGGCTACTAGCGCTGGTTTTACTACAAAAGACCAGACGTAAAGAGTTCCGGCTTAAGAGGCTGGATAGTGGCGGCAGAGGGTTGGGGAGGTGGGTGTCTCTTCCCCCACGCTCCCAGCATCACTGTGCGTTCTCGACTAGCGGGGCAGACTGGCAGAGGGCGGGGGAGACCAGGGCTTGAATCTGCCCAGATCCAGGCAAAAATGGCAGGGAGGGTGAGGCGCTCTGCTAACACTATCAATTATGCATCGTGTTGAACGTGGCTTCGGGGAGGAGGCAGCTAACAGGGGGGTGCGGGAGAGAAGGGTCCGCGCCAGGCAGGCTGAGCGCAGCTCAGTCGGTCCCGCTGGAGGTCTTTCTGCGCCACTGCCTGCATTTGCAAAAGTGTTTAAAGGCAAAGACACGCCCCCACTACAGTCGGGAGCGTCTCCTTCCCCCAAATTCCTCAAAGATGGTTTGTCTCACGTGTTGCGGGGCGTAAAAACGGTTCGCATTCAATTATCAGCAAAGCTCACGGGCGCTGACGGGACAGGCGCGCGAGGGTGAGTGCGCGTAAATGTGTGTATGTGCGAAATAGGGAGAGGCGTGAGTGTCCAGGGTGAAGGTGTTCTTGTGAAAATGTGTGTGAACGTTGTGAGAGCTCAACACGCTATTATTACATGATAATGGATAATTCTAACATGTGGAGGTCGATTGTGTGGAGGGTGTGTGTGTGTGTGTGTGTGTGTGTGTGCGCGCGCGCGTGTGTGTTAGTGAATATATTTTGCGGGCAGTGAGATAAGGGACAGGGACAATGTCAATGGCGCATAAATGTAGGGGAATAGGGGAAAGGGGGTACAGAGGGCTGGGAAGGGCCAAGCCTAGGGCGGTGGGTGTGTGATGCCCTTTGTGACCGACGTATCTCTGCCTTGGGGAGGGTCTTTATGGCTTTAACAAATGTAGAGCATGCAGGAGGTGGGAGAGGCTATGCGCGTTCCCGCCAAGCCGCGGTGCGCGCAAGTACTCTCTCCAACCTGCAGCTAGAGAGAAGTGGGGCAACAGACACGAAAGGAAAAACTGAAGTGGGACTTTAAGGCCAGGGGAATCCTCAAACTTACCTGTCCCTTTCTCTGTCCCTCCCTCGTTTTGCCTACAAGCCGCAGCAACAGATGCAGGAAGCTCTCCACGGCTGTCACCCCAGCTCTATCAAACCGAGACTGGAAGGCTGCATACCGGGAGTCATCGAGCAGCCGGTAAGTAGTAAGGACCACCCCACAACCTCAATCCAGGTGAGGGCAGGTCCAGCCTAGAGTACTGGACCCCAGCATCACCTTCTGGGAGGATATGGAAGGGAGGGGTCCTCCCCTAGGAGCACTAAGATGCGGGATTCCAAAGTCACAGTGTGGGAGGGGCTCAGACAAACCTGACAGGTGCCCCAAGGGTAAGGCGGCAGGGAGTCTATGTAAATGTGTTTGTGAGACTGGAGATGAGGTTTTATGGGGGTCCCTAGGGCATCTTGGGGCTATGGAGAGAAAGGCACAGAATTTTTAACCTTCTGCAGCTTTATTTGCTAGTAGAGGCTACCTCCCTGACCTATGGGTGGGGGACCTCTCTCCCCCTGGAAGCATCTGGAGTCTGTAGGGCTCAAGAGGGAAGCTTTGGCTGTCCCTACTACAAGTATCTGGCCAGACATGGGGGAGGGTTTCCTTTTCCAGACCGAAGGGTGACCAACCACCCTGGATGGGAAAGGGGATGCTATAGCCCAGGGGAGGAGGACATCTCCTAGGATGGAGAAGGTTATGCAGTGGTTAGGGACTCCCCAGATCCCATGCTTCAAGCCACTCTGCAGCAAGTTCTGGGGTATTGCCTGCTCAGGTTTCGGTCTCAGAGGAGGGCTTAGCGCACATGAAAGTATGGGCCTGTGTCCCTGTGGGTCAGTTTGTATGAGGACTAGTGTCCTTGTGGCTGTCATTTCTTACAACAAATAGGAAGACAATGCACAGTAGTGAAAATACTGTACAAATGATGGTTTCAGTTGACAGAACAATGAGGTCTCCAGGGTACATTGTGTAGGTGTCTGGGTGTCTATGTGTTTGTGTCTATGAAATGCATTGTGAACCTTCTGATAGACATCAGGTCCTCTAGTTGGTGGCTGGATGATGATGCCTGAATTTCTGTTTGTATGTTGTGTGCCTGTATGGGCGTGTGTGACAATGCTATTCGTGGGACAAAGGGTTCCAGAAAGGACTGCCAGTCACGGGCAAAAATATTCTTTCAGTGTATTCAATTTACCGGGTTAAATGAAGACTTAGAAACACTCAGAGGGTCAATGCAGAGCTCACTGCAAATGACAAGCAGCAGAACCTTTGGAGGGCTAGCTCAAGAATGAGAGTATGGAAGACAAGAGCATGGTCCACACCCTAGAAAAAGGAAGTCAGGGTCCAGAGGGGGAGCTCTTCTCGTGCCCAAGAGAAGTTCCTGGATGTTGAGGAGGTTATGGAGCCCTGGAGTCTAGGCTAGACAGATTTTCAGAGACAGAGCTTGTAAGGGGAAAGAACCTGAATTCAATAAGTCACCTTCTGGTTTTTTCGCCTGGCTTCTATTTGCAGGAACCGTGATGGCGCCCCTTCGAGCCCTTTGGTTGGCCTGGGCACTCATAGGAGTGGCTGCAGCGTGCCCAGAGCCATGTGCCTGTGTAGACAAGTACGCCCATCAGTTTGCTGACTGTGCCTACAAAGAGCTGCGCGAGGTCCCTGAAGGACTGCCAGCCAATGTGACCACGCTTAGTCTCTCGGCAAACAAGATCACTGTGCTAAGGCGCGGGGCCTTCGCCAACGTCACGCAAGTCACATCGCTGTGGCTGGCGCACAATGAGGTGCGCACTGTGGAGCGGGGTGCACTGGCTGTGCTGAGCCAGCTCAAGAACCTCGACCTGAGCCACAACCTCATATCCAGCTTCCCTTGGAGCGACCTGCGAAACCTGAGCGCGCTGCAACTGCTCAAAATGAACCACAATCGCTTGGGTTCTCTGCCCCGGGAAGCCCTCGGCGCACTGCCGGACCTGCGGTCTCTGCGCATAAACAACAACCGGCTGCGTACTCTGGAACCTGGCACCTTCGACGCACTAAGCGCTCTGTCACACCTGCAACTGTATCACAATCCCTTTCACTGTGGCTGCGGCCTCGTGTGGCTGCAAGCCTGGGCCGCGAGCACTCGGGTCTCCTTGCCCGAGCCTGACTCCATTGCGTGTGCCTCGCCTCCGGCGCTGCAGGGGGTGCCGGTGCACCGCCTGCCCGCCCTGCCTTGCGCACCACCTAGCGTGCGTCTTAGTGCAGAGCCGCAGTCTGAGGAGCCTGGCACCCCGCTGCGCCCTGGCACAGTGTTCTTGTTGCACTGCATAGCTGAAGGCCACCCCACGCCCCGCCTGCAATGGCAACTTCAGATCCCAGGTGGCACAGTTGTCTTAGAGCCGCCGGTTCTGAGCAGGGAGGACGACGGGGACTTGGCAGAGGAAGGGCAAGGGGAAGGAGATGTGGACACGCCGACGCAGACCGAGGCTCCAACCTCAGTACCGGCACCTGCATGGCCAGCGCCCCCAGCCACCCCGCGCTTCCTGGCCCTAGCAAACGGCTCCCTGTTGGTGCCTGTCTTGAGTGCCAAGGAGGCAGGCGTCTACACATGCCGTGCACACAATGAGCTGGGTGTCAACTCGACATCAGTACGTGTGGCAGTAGCTGCAGCAGGGCCCCCTAAGCACGCTCCAGGCGTCGGGGGAGAATCTGATGGGCAAGGCCCGACCTCCGAGCGCAAGTCCACAAACAAAGGCCGGGGAAACAGCGTCCTGCCTTCCAAGCCTGAGGGCAAAACCAAAGGCCAAGGCCTGGCTCGGGTCAGCGTCCCGGGTGAGACAGAGGCACAGCTGGAGGAGGAGATTGGTGAAGGAGAGGAAGCGGAAGACCAGATTCCTGTGGACCCGGCGGCCGAGGAGCAGCACTGCGGCCACGGGGACCCCTCTCGGTACGTGTCTAACCACGCCTTCAATCAAAGCTCAGAACTCAAACCGCACGTCTTCGAGCTGGGCGTCATCGCACTGGATGTGTCGGAGCGGGAGGCGCGGGTGCAGCTGACGCCGCTGGCGGCGCGCTGGGGTCCTGGGCCCGGCGGGGCTGCGGGAGCCGGGCGGCCTGGGCGAAGGCCCCTGCGCCTGCTCTATCTGTGTCCAGCTGGGGGCGGCGCGGCAGTGCAGTGGTCCCGCGTGGAGGAAGGCGTTAATGCTTACTGGTTCCGCGGCCTGAGGCCTGGCACCAACTACTCAGTGTGCCTGGCACTGGCAGGGGAGGCCTGCCATGTGCAAGTGGTGTTCGCCACCAAAAAGGAGCTGCCCTCGCTGCTAGTCATCGTGGCGGTGAGTGTATTCCTCCTGGTGCTGGCCACCGTGCCCCTGCTGGGCGCCGCCTGCTGCCATCTGCTGGCCAAACACCCCGGCAAGCCCTACCGTCTAATCTTGAGGCCACAGGTCCCTGACCCTATGGAGAAGCGAATCGCTGCGGACTTCGACCCCCGGGCCTCCTATCTTGAATCCGAGAAAAGCTACCCAGCAGGCGGCGAGGCGGGTGGTGAGGAGCCTGAGGAGGCGCCGGGGGAGAGCCTTGATGAAGACGCGGAGCAGGGAGACCCAAGTGGGGACCTGCAGAGGGAGGAGAGCCTGGCGGCATGCTCACTGGTGGAGTCCCAGTCCAAAGCCAACCAAGAGGAGTTCGAGGCGGGCTCTGAGTACAGTGATCGGCTGCCGCTGGGTGCGGAGGCAGTCAACATCGCCCAGGAGATAAACGGCAACTACAGGCAGACGGCGGGCTGAGCCCCCAGCCCGCCTGGACCGCCCATTCCCACCCCCGCTTTGGGTGCCCGGGAGCGGAAACCTAGGGCTGGCAGATTATATCATTTATCCCCTCCGTTCCACTGCCTTCAAACTTCACTTACTCCGCCCCCTTGTCCCTCCCAACGTTGACTACTAAGGACTTTTAGTAGGAAGTGGGGCGAATTCACTAGTCCCTGGTCACTTATAGCCGTATTTATCCCGGGGGGCTCTGTCCACTCCCCCAAATACAATGACCCTCTTATTTCCCCATATAGACACAACCCGCCAACGGCGAGGCAAATCCATACTCCTTCACTCCTATCGCGATTATCTGCGAATTCCGCCCCGCAGCCGGTCCCATCCGTGGGCCCTGAAGTCGGAGAAAGTCCGCGAAGACACTGGAAACATCTGGTGGTATAGCTGTTTCTGGCCCCAGACCTCTAGTAGATGACCCCATAGTGGAGCGTTGTGGGTCTCAACCTCGACCCCTACACCGCCTTTTCAGGGCTGCCCATCCCAGAAGCCGGGTAGTTTCAGTCTCAACGCCCGACAGGGAATCAGATCCTTCTGTCTCCCCACCTCTCCACCCTGACCCTACTTCTGTCCAGCTGGAGCTGAGCCGGGTGCCTGGGGCGCCTTTCGGCTCCATGTTCTGGTCTTCACATTTTCGTTGCTTTCAAAGACAGAGACATTCTGGGTCTGGTGCTAACACCCCCTTCCAATCTCTGGGAAAACTGGGTGTACGTGTGTCAGGGGGTGTGGGAGGGAATCGTTTTCTCCCGCCTGTCTTCTAACTTAAAGCGCCGCAGGACCGAGCGCCCCTTTTCCGTAAAGGGGTCGGCTTGGTTCGGGGCCAATTTCGTTGTCCAAGTGTTGCGGTTTCCGGAAAACGGTATGCACTACAGCTTCTTCCTCGGCTCCACGGGGCCCAGACTCGAGCCGGAAAGCGCCAGGGGCGTAGGAAGCCGACTGTGGCTCCCTGGGGCCGAGTTTCTCCGGAGGGCTGGCGCCCTAGTACGCACAAAGCCTGCGCGTGACTGCAGCGGGATCCCGATCGGGAAAAGCACTCCCCGGTCTTCGGGTCCCCTCGCCTCGCCCCGCCCCGCCCCTCCTTCCGCGAGAATAGTGTTTGCCAGGCGTGTAGTCCTAGTCCAGCGTGGTCTGTAG